GTCTTATTCACATTTCAAGTTGATCCATCAATACTTTTCAATACATTTCACTCACTACATCACACACAAATATCAGCTGCATGTGGCACTAGAGGAAAAGTCAAAATATCCCTAGGCCTACACCTGTAGGCAACGTTCTCCGGTGAACATGAATGACTAAAATGTAACAAATGTCCATCTGTTAGCTGTTAAGACATTTCAGTTTGAGCCGAAATCTTGACTAACATATTGGCATTGTCATCCATTCGTAGAGTCACAGCATGGCTAAAAATGAAGGATGGAACTGAACTCTACTTTAAATTTACAATACATGATTCAGTGTACAAGATGAGGTAATTTTATGGTACTTCCTATTAAAACATATTAGTTAACCTATGTGTTAACTGGTTGGCAAAATAAAAAACACGATTTGTCTATATTGACTGACTATTGCACGTAATACTTATTTTTAACCAACAAATTAGTAATCACTTTCTGCAGTAATCACTTCAACCAGCAACAGAGGAAAGTAGACTGTGAATCAGCAGCTCTACAGCAAGCTTAACCCTAACCCTAACCTTAACCAAAGCCTACACTTGCTTTTACCTTACACCCCATTGTTTTCATAAAATTTGACAATCACCCCACACACTGTCCAGTAAAATCTCCTCTGCTCAGGAATGATGACTGTTGTGCTCACTGGGAGCATCACAGGCTCTAGCTGTCCAAGAGAGCCCAGCCCAGAGAATGAGACTGAGGTAGGACATCCTGCTGCAGGGACTTCACTTGCACTGTGCCTTGAAGGAGCAATCAACCTTTTTTCTTACAAGTGGTATAATGCGTGTTTTTACATGTGTGTATGTACGAATTAATATTTCCCTCACAGACCTCCACTTGGAGGCAAAGCTTGCTTCTGAAGTATGGCACTGCATATCCTGAATGAAGGCAGGGGGGAGATAAAGATTCCTGGACAGTAAGACTTTACCCCCTGCTGTACCCATACCCACTTAATAAAATGTACTTAAGGAAGAGGTGCACTGCCATTGAATAACATATTCTCATTCCTAGAAGCCACAAGTGCTGCCTGGGGCTTAGATACAACGCTTCTGGGCCTTTACTATATTCAATTCAACAGGTCTTAATATGCTTTAATAAGAGCTCTTTTTTAATTAATTCTCCATTGAAACACAGCTACCAATGACATATAAAAACTGAATGAATGGGATAAGGCTGCCAGGGATCAGGAGGGGGTGGAATAGGAATCTTTGTGGATTTGACCTCACCAGTCAGGTCTGGTACCCAGTATAATGTCTGTGCCCATGGCTCTTACATTAGCAGTAAGAGGAGTCTTTTATATGTTTAAGGTGTGCACTATGATTCAGATCAGGTCATAAGATTTGCATGTCACATCCAGAGTAGTGGGACAGAGCTGCTCTGCCTCATATGTGTTCCTCTCTAGTGAACAGGGGCTTTGAGTTGTATTTGGATCTCAGTGTAGAAGAAAAAAGCCAAGTATTTCAGAGGAACATGAGGTTAAATAGAACACAAAATACTTACAGTACCCATAGGAAATATCATAGGTTTGGTACAGAAATGTCTGCTCAATGTAATAGGTAATGATAAAAAAAAAAAAAAAGTCTATGTATCCCACTGGACCTGCTGTTATTGAAGCCTAACAGCAGAGACAGAGAAAATGACTCATAAATATTCCCACATTTGTTGTCCAAAAAACAAAAAATGAAACAGCATGGTGATACTGTATTAGCACGCAAGGTAAGGATTAAGAACATGAATGTTTTTCCGTACGCAGCAGGTGAAGCAGACGTGGAGCAGTTTCATCATCCACAGCTTTAGCAGTGTATTTGCAGTCCAGCTCAGAATCATTTCAGTTTCCCATTTCAAATGTTAACCATCATAGACAATTTGCTTTTATTGAAGAACATATTTATTTTTGAGATTAACTAGCCAAAATCTGAACTGAGAGCTGACTTTGGATTGTATTGTTGCAATTAGGAGTGAGTTTAGTAATAAAAGTCACCCATTAATGCCACTATTTAATGGGCTTGTACACATCATGTTGGCTAATATAAGGCAAAGTTGTTCGAATTTGGCTCATGCCAAACACTAGGGCTAACCTCTATGAAGATTGATTCCACTTTTACCTCAAGTCAATGGAGAAGTGATTGCTCATTATACAGTTATTAAAAGCAGCAAATTATTACAGTATTTATTATACCAGACAATTGCCCTATCAATATCATAACTTCCATTTCTGCCATCTGCACTGGAACAAATGTGTCCCATGAGCCACAACTGTAGGTTCACAGCAGGGAGCCTGCAGTGTGAATGTAAAGAAGAGTTCCCTGCGCTCTGAATCTTATTGTTTTACTGTCTTATGAGGTACATACAGTGTGTATAATAGATGCAATTAAACATGCCTTGGAAGCACATCTTGCTGTCAACAATCTTTCCTGTGAGTGGTATCACTTGCTGTGCCTTTGAAGCAGGGTTTAATAATAGAACCCAACAGAACTTATAAAAATGTTCTCCATCAGATTAAAAGGGAGCTTCAGTCTCAGCCACCTAACCACATTCTGCACAAACATAAAAAAAAAAAAAAAAAACAAACAAAAAAATACATACACACAAACGTTTGTGCACACATACAGTATAGTACACAAAGTTTAAGTGGTTTATACTGGGAGGACCATATTCCTTATGATGTGTGGATGACTACTAAGTCTCTTAACAACATTGAGAATGCCATCAGTCCTGTTTCTCCCAGCAGTAGGAAAGAATGAATAGAATGATGTTTAGGGGGGAGGTGAGGGAAAATAAACAGACGCATCCATCTCATTCTCTTTGCACCGCTTTCTTTTTCCACTCTAGACGGTGCGATGTCTGCTTTAGTGGTGGTCTCACACTTAATGAATCCACTTCAGTGTAGTTCCCCTCCTCTTAGGTTGAATCCATCAGTCTGGAGCAGTGATAGCCTGGCCCAGGGGATGACATCTGTGAATCGTGCATTAATGTATAACCAGCAGCAGATGTCTTTCAGAACAACTTACTACATCTATGCCTTATTTCATTCCCTGCAGCAGCCACTTTTGCTGTGTTTCATTCAATGGGGGACCCAAATGACTACATGGAATATGTTTAATGACCTAAACTGTGAGATGCTGAGGATTATTTTAAAAGAAATTTACAATGGTGAAAGAATTACTAAAAACCTTTCCTTGAGGAAAATTAGGCTACCTATAAAACAACATAAAAATACGCCACTAAGACTCATGCTTAAGTAGCATACTTTTGTGGCTAACAGTGATTACTGTGCAGGCTGTGCAGTTATGTAGTTTATTTCAGTGGTGTGTGTGTGTGTGTGTGTGTGTGTGTGTTATTTATTTATTCATTTATGGATTTTTTTTTTTTTGTCTTTTGAGACAATGATTATACAGTATGGACACTGGGCTAAATTATCTGTGCATTGTATCAAAACATTTACCTGGCAGATTTGGCCTACAGAACATTTTATGTTTTGAAGCCCATACAAGTGAATAAGTGTGATGTGCATCACATAAAATTGATCAAAGGTTTGTGTGCAAAAGGCATGCACCACTACCAACTACATGTTGTTAGGGCATTATAGTATGAAGCTAGTGATCAGTGTAGGGGAAGCTACTGTACTTTGAAAGCATAGCCTTAGCTACTTCACACTAATGTTGAACTGCAGCAAAGCTACAGTACCCTAGGAAGAAATCTAGTTTAGTTAACTAAAGCTACAGTGGATATAAAAAGTCTACACACCCCTGTTAAAATGCCAGGTTTCTGTGATGTAAAAAAAGCGAGACCAAGATAAATAATTCCAGAACTTCAGCCACCTTTAATGTGACCTATAACTTGTACAGCTCAATTGAAAACAAACTGAAATCTGTTTTTCAGTGGGAAGTAAAAATAAAAAACTAAAATAATGTGGTTGCATTAGTGTGCACACCCTTAAACTAATATTTTGTTGAAGCACCTTTTGATTTTATTACAGCACTCAGTCTTTTTGGGTATGAGTTTATCAGCAATGCATATACCATGGAACACAGTGAAGTCAGTCATCATCAAGTGGAGAAAATATGGTGCAACAGTGACATTACCAAGAGCTGGACGTCCCTCCAAAATTGATGAAAAGACAAGGAGAAAACTGGTCAGGGAGGCTGCCAAGAGGCCTACAGCAACATTAAAGGAGCTGCAGGAATTCCTGGCAAGTACTGGTTGTGTAGTACATGTGACGACAATCTCCCGTATTCTTCATTTGTATGGGCGATGGGGTAGAGTGGTTAAATTACATGTAGTTCCCTTCTCCCCAACACTGCTAGAAATGAATGAGTCACTGGCAGCATGCAGTGAATTTGTAGCATTCATTTCATAGAGGATTACGCCTCCTTGACTGTGCCGTCATGCTGTTAAGGCCCAATTGACCATATCCAATCCTTTGGCTGGAGGTAGCCTGTGTCACACAGTGTGACGTGATGGATTTCACAGCTGGTTTTGAAATCACATAATTGCACACCAAAGTAAAACAAGGAAACAGCAGTTTCGGAGTTTAGCCACATATATTATAGCCATAGACAGTAATGAAAGGCTTTATCATACAGTCACATGAAATGTATTTTAATAAAACACAATGTACACATATGCAGTCCTATGACCATACATTTGCTGGATCCTAACTATTCAACCTATAATATGTCAAAGACATAGTTTGTTTGTCTTTTTTCTTCTTCTTTAAAACATTAAAATCAGTAGATGAGGTCAAATGAATGTAATACAGCACTTTGTGTGAAATCAGACAAAACCCATTTTCACGTGTTAAAGATATGCACTGTTATAAGAAACTCAAAGAATATTTTAGCATATAAGAGTAACAGTATGAGTCAGAAATTCTCACTGAACAAAAAAAAAAAAATACAAAATAGAATAAATAAATAAATCAAATATATACCATATAAATGAAAAAAGCTATGTGGTGGCTATTTATTATTTGTTTTTAATCATTTTAATCTGTAGCTTGGTGTTACAACTTTTTTTTTTATCTCTAAAACATTTAGAACGGTGAACGAGTCAATACTGAAAATACAGTAATAAGCTTTCATAATTAGATAAACTATGTACACATGAGTCTGTTGCCATGCTATTAGAACAACTAAATTTAATCTCTTTTTAATCCACACTATACAGTTAGAGCATAAAGCGGTCTGAACGTAAACAGTTTGTGCTGAGAATAAAATACTTTGCAACAATGCATGGTCATTTCTTTAATTAATATCACTCTCAAAAATGTACATAACATAAAGGCCACACATGGGAACACTGCATCTCCATTTAGAGTGAAGGTGAGGGTAGCTTTGACATAAATATAGGAACAAAAAACAGTCTCTTTCATTTCAAGATGTCATTTTCATGTCCATCAGCATCATTTGCTTCAGCCAATTCTCTTCTGCCTCTTCATCCTCCATCCTTTTTTTCCATCCTCCTTGGTTCGAACACCCCCACCCCCCAACCCTTTTATGAGCATTTTAGCTTGCCAACTTCCTCACTACCTCTGCTATCCACCTCCCTCTGTTTCGGCTCTCCCGCCTCCACAGTCTCTGGCTGCCCCTCAGTTTTCCATCAACCCCAGATGGTTAATGACGTTGTTAACAATGGTAAATGAGTTCATTAATGTCAACTGTAAAGGTCCACAAGGCAAGGCAAAGGGTGGGGCTGGGCGAACAGAGTCACCTGGCTGGTCACTGCAGCAGGGGGAGAAGCAGCAGGAGGCAGAGGCATGAAGCATGTGTTTAGTGTGTTGATACTTATATTGTATGTTAAATGTATATATCTGAATTTGGTGAGTCATGGCTGTGTCATGGTGGGTGTGGGTGGGAGGTGGGGGAGGGCCGGGAGTCAGGTGGGGAGGTGGAGTGGTCTAGGATAGTCGGTCAGAATATAGGTGCAGCAGCAGCTAGTAGCCTTGCATTGGTTCTTTGTTGGATGGTTTAAGTCCTCACTGGCTGGAACGCGCAGAGGCCAAGTGGTCGCTGTGCTGGTTCTGGGCCCGAAACCGCAGTCTCTGCTTGTTCTTCTTCTTTGGGTCTTTGGATCGGTGCTTTCCCGAACCACCTGGATATACAGAGAGAAAAAGAGAGATGCTTAATCCTTTAATTGCTACTACTCTCAGTTGTTCAATTCTCCAGCTACATGTAACACCTTATTGTGTTTCAGACAACCTCACGTCATTCCCTGAGGTGGCTGTCATATATATACCTAATCATGAGGTCCTGTCTTGGTCCTGTCAACGTTCTCTGCACAAAAATGTAGCTTTAATATCTTTAATATATTAGTTGATATTATGTTTATTAAATGATGCATATTCTTTTGCAAATTTCATTTATTTATCACAAACCAACCAATTTGGAGCAAATTTTCGGCAGCACAGTAGTCCAGATTATTACAGATTCTGGGGATCTGGCCAAAATGGGTTCAGTAAGGAGACCCATGTTCATTTTTTCCCTGTGGCCCACAGCATGTTAATCAGCACTGTACCACAAAAAAAGAATTCAGAATTGTGAGGATTTATTACGTATTTTGCTTGTGAGTGATAAGATCCATGTACTCTAGGTCTGTCCTCCACACAGGAAAACAGTTTCATCTCATGACCTTGTTGACCTGGCCTTACTATAAAGAGACTGTTGGTAAGTGTGTGGTGCTATACTAAGCATATTTGCTTTTAGTGCACCAGGGGCAGAGCTGTAGTACAATTCACTGCACTCACACTTGAATATTAGTCATTCAGACTCTTGACTCAGGACACCTTTTCAATATTATATTAAATTTGTACCTGAATATCTGGTCAGACTATGTCTTATGAAACAACCACTGATAGAATGACGCCACATAATGATGGGTGCAGAGGACTGCTTTTCAAGTCACCTGTGAGCTCTACTTCTAATGATTTTACTGTAAATATTCAACAGCTGTCTGTTCCTTGACTGTACTTTTACATACTTGATTATGAGAGCTCAACCTGTTTATTTTGGTCTGGAGAACTCAGGATATGGGACCTTATCTTGTATTTCATTACACTCTCCAAGAGCTAGAGTTCATATAAGTAATGGAATAGGACAATAAAAAACTTCTTAAAGGAGTCAAATCGTTTGAGTACTGAAACAAACAAACACCCATATAGTGATGTTTTATAAGTTATGTAACTTAGCAAATGAAAAAAGCTGCATTATATAAAAAAGCAGACAGTATGAGGGAGATTTACATATAAGGTCATTGTTTGCTGCATCCCTCAGGACTGAACCTCAGTTTTAAACAAATGTCTGTTTATCCCAATACTTCATTGTAACTGCAGACAGTTGATAAGTATGGGAAGTTGCATAACTTTCTTTCCATGTTGTAAAGGTCCTCCAGTCCAAGGTTAATCATCCCATGTTTCACTGGGATGGGCAAGACAGGCAAGGAACTGACTTCCTGTGTGGTGGACGTTCTGCACCCACAGTTCTCTCTGTGACAGAGAAAACTCAGGATACTGAACCACAAAGCAATGATCTAGCTGCCAAGGCTACAAATAAGATAACGAGGTGTGTGTACAAAATGTACTGTATGTGTGCGAGAGGGAATGAGTGTGAGGGACTTTAAGGGAAAAGAAAAGCTAATGGGGGGAAAGTGGAGCAAGGCTTGGATGGTGAGATGCTATCTGGATGCTATCTAGAGCACAAAGATACAAGCTATGGTTTGTGGAGGAGGGAAGTGCAGGAAGACACAACAGAAAAACAAGTCTCAATCCCAGGTTTTCGCTGCCTCATTTTGAATCTTATTGCTGCACTTGTTCAAGCTTGTTCTCTCATGAAAAATAGGTATCAGCACGTAAAATGTGGCATTATCTATAATTGCCTTCTCATGTGTGCTGGCATTGCTATGGCCTTTTAAACACCCCTACAGAAGACCTATTTTGCTCATTTAAACCAACATGCATAAGAAAGCAAGATATTACTCTGCTAATAGGGTCTCTCAGTAAATAATACAGACACATGCAAACATCAAACCATCCAAGAGCTATTTCCTGCAATTAATCTAATGTTATTGACTCCTATTGCCAATCTGAGCCATAGCAATAAAGTTTCTCACACTGCTTTTAGTTTAAATCACCCATTGAAAACAACTTTCACATCACTTACATCAAAATCTCATGTCATTCAACTGAAAAATATCACCAGAGAACTTTGTACACTTGCCGCTTTAGATTTGTGTGTGATTAATGGTGCAATAATGTTTGTTAAAGTAAATGTGGGGCTGAAAGGCATTTGGTCTATAGGTTCGTTTTCCTAATTGCTCTATAAAGAGGTAATTTTCATTCAAAACAGTGTTGCTAGGTGCCTGATAAACAGGGCTTTCAGTGCAATCAGCCTAAGATAAATTACATTTGACAGCAATAAATTACATGGTGCAGCATTATACTTTGTAATGGGCAAAGCCCTTGTGGGCCATTCCTTGGATGCAAGGCTGCATTTAAACCAAAAAAAAAAAAGCCTGTATTTACAGCAATTGCTTGAAACATAAATAAATATGTGAGAGTTAAGTTAAAAAGTACTTTTCCTGGCTAGTTTAAGACTGATCAGGAGATTTGTAAGGAAGAAAATCAGCAGCTGCACATTGACCTACTGAGTTCAAGAGGTGTAAAATGTCAAGTTTTCCCAGGTACACTGAGTGGTCATTCTACACTGACTCTAAACTGAAGACCTCCTCCTAAAGCATTAGCATTAGCATATAACATATTAGTGTTGGTAACATTACCTACCTAGTATGGTCATGATTTAACTTTGTACTGAGTTAATATAATTAATTTGAGCTTTATGTATAACATTAGTGCTTTGTCTTACATTAGCAGTAACTGGAGTGTTCTACTGGATTGCCAAATTTACTCGTTTGTCAGTTAAAGCTATCTTAGGCCCGGAGGCTGCTTTTGTACTTTGTTGAAACCAGGCATCTGTAGTTTATATCATCAAACAAGATGTGATGGGAGGGGCAAAGTGCAGTTTGGAGCAGCTTGATGTCAGTTTGTTTTGAGTAGTGATGTGCTATACCACCTTATTTTATTTCCAATCTGATACAAAGTAAAATCCAAGCTGGTATCACTGGTACCAATGCTGATACTGATACTTGTGATGGTTCCAGACAACAGAGACCGATGGAGGAGAGGAGATAGGCTATAAGGTGTATCTATAAGGGCTTTCTGCTTTTATTAATAACAAATGGTGCCACCCTGCTCACATACTGTGAAGGGACATTTCTGCAGGTCAGATAATGAACTGTTGACGGTGGGACAATGTCCATACTACATACATATATTCATACATACATACATACAGTAGACCCTTTACATGCCATCTTGATTGTTAATTACTTCCCTCCACCCAGCAACCACATATGACATCTGCTCTGTTGCTGAGATAACTCCTAACTAAAAGTTTTTCTTACTCTGCAGCGGCTCACACGTTTTCAGAGCACTAGTTCGCTTAGGACTATGATAGGTGGAAGAAGTTCCTATCAACCAGGTATTATTTAGACTGTCCTGGATAGTGTAGTTACTGTCTACTGTGTCCCCTGTTAAAGATAAAATATAGATTTACATCAAAGTAGCCTACTTATTTTAGATTACGATTTTTTCACGTGTGTATGAATACTAGAACAAAAAAAGTTGGAATCTGAAGTACCGCTATTCCAGGATCTATCCACACATCACTAGTTTTGAGTCTCACTAGACCCTTTAGCAGCTGAGAAGAAATTAGGAAGAGTAGCTTTAAGGCAGTAAAACTAATCATGACTAAGAAGAATCCCAGCTAATGTTAAATTCCTGCTAAAAGTAGCTTAGCAGATCTCAGTAGCTGACATTTCATTTAGTGGGATTGCATCTGTTTTGGTGTAGTTAAGCTACCTATAAAATATATTTACACAGAATGTATTTGATATAAATTAATTGATTATAGCAGACAGAAAGATAGACAACTAACAAAACATATAATTTAGTGTTAACTACTACAGGCTGTACTGTAGAGCCTATATCAAGTGGATGTCTATTTTCTTAAACTAGTACTGAAATAAAGAGTAAAGGCAGAGCACAATATCTGTATTTTTATTATGTAGGCCCTATGACAATGATGTAAATATATTAGCCAAAAAGAAACAAAATGGAAGCATTACAAGCTTTTTACATTACACAGCTTGCCAAACAGCCTGAAAATTTTTAAGCCCAGCTTCTCAGCTTCACCGCTTTCATAGTTACTGCTCTTTGTCTTTGTATGGAAGTTGCTTCCAAGACTTTTTCATTTTCCTTTTGTGCCTTTGGCTGTATTAAGTTGATGACAGCTGTCAAGACAGTGTACAAGTCAAATTACCATGTTAGTCATGGAATACACAAAAGAATTGGTGCGAAAGTCTTAACAGCAGAATCCCTGATGCTTTCCAGTCATGCTTTTAAATTGCAGTTTTATAAAGGACAAGATTCTGGATATTGTAAACAGACTGTACAATATCCAGAATACTCATAGCACGCCTCCATACTGCAGCTCTACTGTACAGATAACCTTACCCATCACGGGCTTTTACACATCCTGGAAGATTTACTTTGTTTCTTAAGGAGATAAATTGAGATTACAAACTAGGCACTTCAAATCAGACATCTCCATGCCATCCTTATCATTGTGTCTCAGTCTTCAGCTCAAACTCCCAAAGCTTTCTGATGGCACTTCATAATCTCACCTCTTCAGCAATTTTAGACCATATTTCATAACCCAATCTCAGTGTTGACAGCTAGAGGGCAACCAATCCCCACATAATCCCCTTCCCCCTGTGTCTGATACAGTCCCAGTGATGCTCTGTCATATCTACCCACGAACTCCCGTTTAGCCTTTCCTCAAGGCATCATGCACTCTGAACACTGAGTTTTCATTATCTTGTATTTACGACTAATGTAATCACTTAAAATGATTACCAGGGTTCACAGAGGAAGCAGTTTAATTTGCCTGGAGAGAAATGATTAAGTCATCTCAGCTGCTTTCAAAGCCAAGAACAAATTCATAAATCTTAAAGCATGTAAAGATAATTTTGTCTTGGAA